ACATAAGTAGTTTGGTTAGTCAACAACAATTTGATTACGAATACTACTATTTAATGCTTTCTCAAAAGATACAAATTTTAATAGTAATTGGTAGTATTAAAATCCTAATCGTTAAAATGGTCGACGTGGGTCAGAAATTTAAGTGGGATTCGCATGTTGAAGAGAATATGGGAACTGGATTCATGTGATGGGCCATTACTAAAGCTTCTTACCGTTGCGGGACCCACGTTGGCTCAAAAGTCTTACCTTGTCTGCCACGTGGACAACATATGACCCATCTTTGTCGCTGTATGCAGTTTTATAATCTGTTCTCGGTGGACCCACTGGCTTTTAATTAATAATATAATTAAGTAAATAATTCTTCCAATAATTATTTTCCATTTACTTCCTACCTAAATTATTGTTTTGTATATAGTACCATATTTGTTATTTTAATCAATTATATTTCCAACGAATTATTGAAGTTATCAAATTATCAGCTCGTTGATCAGGTTGATACATGGAGTATAATATATCTACAAAATATAATCGATGTCTTTAAAAAGCTAACCGGAGTCATTTGACGATTAATAGCTGGCTTAACCGACCGTATAGAGGAGTATACATGTATTATTGGTTTAGGTAGTTTGTTTAAAGAATATGCTTATACAAATTATTTATATTATACTCTTTTGTCATTTGCTGGACGTATACACCAGATGTCCAAATCAGACCGGTACACAATTACATAATGCAAGTTGCAAAACAAAATCGTATAACATACAAATGTTAAACCCAAAATGTCAGGAAAAGGAAAACACGAGGATCTTACTCTTTTTAAGTACATGTCTTAAAGATCGATTAATGCCTTTGGGCTTTGAATCAAAAACAACTTGACGACCAAAAAAGAAGAAGTATATGTCTTAATCGATAATTGAACAAAACAATGACAATATATATGATCATTAATTAAGCGATTTGCATTTGAAGGTTTTTCATCAAGTAATTACTTGGTTTGGCATGATGAATCGATCCATTCATAATCCGGTCGATAAAAGGATGATAAAACAATTAAAACGTCCTTATCTTCAATCCGAATTTAATGAATTAAGTAGCCTTGTATTGTGATTAAACCGTAATCTAAGTATGCATCATGTCAGACTATCAGTATTCA